TTACAGAAGTTCAGAGCAGTGCGATGACTTGCAGAGAGATGGATTGAGGCCCTGGGCTTGGTGCAGGGCAAAAAGAGGTATAATAAGTGCAAGAGTTTGCAAGGGAGAAAGACAGAAACCCTGACATGGGTAAATTAGATACAGTATAGTACTGGTTTTACTACCCAGGCTGCAGGTGCGGCAGCAGCTCGCTGTTTGACCCCAGAACTACAGGCACACACATATAGTACAACTACATTCATGTAAGCAAGAAAGTGGTCAGGCTTTCACACAAGTTCATGTAGGCAAGGCCACACAGTCAAGTCAAGAATGCACATTGTGTTTATGAGCTGAGTTTATATTGTATCATCCTCTTACTGCCACTCTGGTTAGTTAGGCAGGAAATTCATGAGAATTGTGACAGTTGGATGATGCCAACATGTAGTCGGGCCTGTGTGGAAGTGTCAGAACAGTTAACGAATTCATACAAAAAATGTCATCAACAGTACCATTTAGATCTGCCTAATTATTGGTTCTATTAAGGCCCTGGGCCAGCAATGTAGATACAGGAAGACAAATGTTTAGCTTGGAGAATAAAGGAAAAGCATTCAAGGTTTATATGTTTTAACTTCTAGTGACTGTGTTTAATGGTACATGGGAGGAATGAGTAATGCCATTGCTGCTGTTGTTAGGAAGATATATTGGTATACATTTTTATATTTTATGGTTGAAACACCCCTGTTTGTAGTATTGTAAGTTCTTTCTTTGTTGAGTAATGATCTTTCCATGTATATTTTTCCTTCAGCGCTTCTGTTTCTAAGTGTCATTGCAGCCATTTGGAGCTACTGGTACAGTAACATTGCAGTTGGCTCCCCAACTCTGCTGAAACCCAATCTATCAAACCACTTTTTCTCTCCTGCTTGCTTTGGGATACTACATCCCTCTGCCCTTTCAACACAAAACCTCATGCTCATCCCATTCTTGTGAATGTGAAATGTCAGAAATGCCTTGAGGGAATTTCTTCAAATTTGGTACACGTGTCCACTTTGGATTCAGTGATGAACTGATTAGATTTCGGTGGTCAGAGGTTAAGATCAGTGACTTCACTTCTGTCCAATGCTTGTGAATTTGACTGATTGGCAGAGGCATACAACTGTGAAACCATAATTCTAGTTACTGTTTAACTTGTTGCCACACTGTAAATCCTAATGTCCTGATAAATGCAAGTGAATATGTGCAAATATAGCTGCTACAATACATTTTCCTGTGTACATGTCCCTTTCTAACTGGGCATGCTTTTGTGTATGTTTTCATGTCACCTGTTGTTCAATTTAACATGTTTGTCTGTGTCTTTGTAGGTTATGTGCAGAGTCTCATTAGACGTGTGGTGAACAATGTGAATATTGTGGTGAACAACTTGATCCTTAAGTACGTGGAAGATGACATTGTGCTGTCGGTGAACATTACCTCAGCAGAGTGCTACACTGTGGACGATATGTGGGAGAGGGCATTCATGGACTTCACTGGTGAGCAATGGCTGCTTACATTCTCTGTTAGCGGGATTAACTAGTAAATTTACTGAGACAAGAACCTGTATACTACAGTAAGTGTTTAATTTAGGTAGATAGATCAGACATGCTTAACAGGGCTATTTGTTTAAATTTTTACTGTCAGCTGCCATAGTAGTCTCAGATTCAGTCTCACAATAAACTCCACACTCTAACTGGAGCATGTGTTGGTCCATTGCTTCAACATAGAAAAAAGTTAATTTAAAATCACAAAAGATGGATGAGGTAGGATAATTTTGAACTGCCAATTGTAAATATTCCTCAAGGTAAAGATACTTTTTACTTATTGAAAACAAAAAAGTTTCATCAAGCTGCTATTTAATGTTGTACACCTGATGAGAATGTAACTGATCAAATTCAACTTGTTGACCAGTCCTTGTACATATGCCAGTACTTATCCCATTAGTTGCATTGTTATTTAACTTTTATTTTACCAGGCTATCCCATTGACATCAATATCTCTTTTTCAAGGGAGACCTGGCATGTTTCTCAATACTGTACAGTGATTTGTGGTAAAAAACAAAAACAAAAAACAAACCTGAACATACAGTGAGGAACAGAAGTATTTGAACACCTGAGAAACAACAAGAATTCTGGCTCTCAAAGACCTGTTACTGTGCCTTGAAAAAGTCCACCTCTACTCCACTCATTAATCTAAATTAGTAGCACCTGTCTGAGCTCTTTAAAGACACATGTCCACCCCACAGTCAGTCAGACGCCAACTACTACCATGGGCAAGACCAAAGAGCTGTCAAAAGACACCAGAGACAGAATTGTGGACCTCCACAAGGCTGGAAAGGGCTACGGGGCAATTGCCAAGCAGCTTGGTGAAAATAGATCAACTGTTGGAGCAATTGTTAGAAAATGGAAGAGGCTAAAGACGACTGTCAGTCTCCCTCGGACTGGGGTGCCATGCAAGATCTCACCTCGTGGGGTATCACTGATGATAAGAAAGGTGAGGAATCAGCCCAGAACTACAAGGGAGGAGCTGGTCAATGACATGAAGAGAGCTGGGACCACAGTTTCAAAGGTCACTGTCGGTAGAACACTACGCCGTCATGGTTTCAAATCATGCATTGCACGGAAGGTTCCCCTGCTCAAGTCATCACATGTCCAGGCCCGTCTGAAGTTTGCCAAAGACCATCTGGATGATCCAGAGGAGGCATGGGAGAAAGTCATGTGGTCAGATGAGACCAAAGTAGAACTTTTTGGTCTAAACTTCACTCGTCGTGTTGGGAGGAAAAAGAAGGATGAGTTGCATCCCAAGAACACCATCCCTACTGTGAAGCATGAGGGTGGTAACATCATGCTTTGGGGGTGCTTTTCTGCGAAGGGGACATGACTCCTGCACTGTGTTAAGGAGAGGATGAATGGGGCCATTTATTGTGAGAGTTTGAACAACAACCTCCTTCCCTCAGTCAGAGCATTGAAGGTGGGTCCTGGCTGGGTCTTCCAACATGACAACGACCCAAAGCACACAGCCAGGATAACCAAGGAGTGGCTCCGTAAGAAGCATATCAAGGTTCTGGAGTGGCCTAGCCAGTCTCCAGACCTGAATCCAATAGAACATCTTTGGAGGGAGCTTAAACTCCGCGTTGCTCAGCGACAGCCCCGAAACCTGACAGATCTAGAGGAGATCTGTGTGGAGGAGTGGGCCAAAATCCCTGTTGCAGTGTGTGCAAACCTGGTCAAGAACTACAGGAAACGTTTGACCTCTGTAATTGCAAACAAAGGTTTCTGTACCAAATATTAACACTGATTTTCTCAGGTGTTCAAATACTTCTGTTCCTCACTGTATAACACTGAGAACCACAGACTACATGGAACTCTTTGACAGACTTTTTGATTTGCCATGTAGCTCTGCTTTGTATAAAGTATCTAAGCGTTCCTTTGAAAATCAACATTCTAAATGATGCAAAACTAATGGCGAGCCTAATATGAGGCTTTTCCTAAATACTGTAGATGTTCAGTAACAACACTAAACCTTTAAAATCCCTCCAGGCTGTCCTTTTCATTACAAGAGTACTGTAGGCCTTTCCATTCAGATTTCTTTGTTGCATTTAAATGTTCAAAGTCCAAACTCCAGTGTCTCTTCATTTTAGGTCCAGATATTTACAGTTCTTTTAAACTTTAGCTATCAATGTAAACTCTAAGAAATAACTGGTTCTTTATAGAGTCACAAAAGCCTATATCAGAGGATCATGAAATGGTCATTGTCAGTTATTGTTATCCTTGTTGAAATTCATGTTAAAAGGGGCCCTTTTCCAACATGTGAATCAAGTACTGGTGGCAGGATTAGTCACTGGCACTGTTTAGAGAATGAAATGATTCTGGGAATGATGACTCTTGTTACCAGTTTGTCAGGGTAAGTGAGGCAGTGACGGCGAATAATCTTGTGGTGATGATCAAACATACACATTTGTTTTCATTCCTTGTGGGGACTTTTTATTGATTTACAAACCTTAAAGGTAGAGTTGGCAATTCTTTTCAGAAGCACTTTTTGTGATGCATCTTGAAAATCTCATTTCATTCTGATGGCAATGAATGCACTGACAAAGGAAAAAATCAGTTATCTGGGGAAGCAGCAGGGCTGCAAAAAGCCTGACCAATAATTTTACTTGTCCCAAGCAAAACCATTGGACGGTCTACCTGCCTTTCAACCTAACTTCATTCTTGTGTGCACTCTGCCCATTTACTCAATGTGAAAGCCATTAGTCTCCCACAAAGTGTTGCAGGCAGACTTGTTACTGCTCTCTTTTGATGGGTAAAGCTAGTGAGTTGTGGCAGAGAAGGTCCCCACAGCAGCTTTTGTTCACAAACGGAGACTGTTGTTACAGGCCAGGCCTTCCCTTTTAAGACATATAGCCTTATAGGTGGTGGTGATGGTGGTGGTGGTGGTGTTGCTACCTTCATGCACTAGGCTATGAAGAAGTCCGCAACACAGAACAGACTCCTTTTACGTGAAGCCAGACAGTAGTCAGCTCTAAGTGTATAGATGGGATTGTAATGCAGCAAACTGGGCATCAAAGGCCACATGCAACATTTGTGTTACCAAGATGGAGTAAAGCTTGTTGTCAACGGAGTTAGCCGGCCTCCCTCTTCACTTCTCCCTGCTGGAAAAGACGAGACTTCTAAGGCTAGTTACCGGCTACGCACCAGGGCTAAAGCAGTTTAGGCATGAACCAGAGGTCCGCAACTATGGTTCGGGGCCACAGGTCTGGGCGGATAACCCCATCTTTGAGAAGGTTACAACTAAAGAGAAGTTGGATGCTGCAAGAAGTAAAGCCAGAATGAACACTGGCATGGCTTTTGAACAATGGTGACAACTGAGAGAACAAAAGGGACTGAAAAGTGACACCATGGTGGACATATTTCTTCTGGATGGGTAATTAACACTTTTTTGTTTTGTTTGGGGGTATTTGTTATTTTCCTGACATCTGTAAGTAGCAATGAGGCAGTGCACGTTGCAGTGTGCATTGCGTTTTGGAGGAGTGGCTTTGGAAAGAACTCAGAATGAAAGGGTGGTATTTCTTCAGTTGTCTACTTTCAAAATCGAGCTTCCTCTTACTGGTTTTTCCAGGATCACCAACCCTATTTTTAACGATAACCACAGCTTGCCTAATCTAACCAAACCTACTAAACCAAGTTATTGCCTGAAAGTTCAGTGATTTACATGGTGGTGGACAAACATCTGTTCCTCTTGAGGAAGGTCAAGCCCACACAGTGTTAGTGTGTAAACAGGTTTTGGTCCTAGCAGTGAGTTATACCAGGCACATACACACACATTTGTACAGCTATCTTTTTGAGGACACTCACTGAAATAATGCATTGTGCAGCCCCTTACCCTAAGCTGGAAACAACTCTTACCCTTCAACAGCCCTTTGAAGGTGTGCGAGTGTGTGAGGACTGGCCAATATGTTCTCACTGCCATGGCATAAAACTCACTGGTCCTCACAATGTATAGCCATACAGGTGTATACACACACACACACACACACACACACACACACACACACACAACTTGGCTGTACCTCTTGTATATGTCATTACACAAGACCTTTTTTTTATATCCAGAGTGTCATCTTTAAACAATTTCTTAGATTACAGATTCTAAGAATTGATTGTCAGGGCCCGCTCTCTATAGTTGTGTGTTTAATGATTTCTCTGTATATTCACGTTTGATTTATGTTGGGCTCAGTATGTCAACCTCTTTAGTGTTCAATGTGAAATGTTAACTTTGTTTCCTTTTTTTGCAATCCATGCAGCTCCAGAGCTGGTCCTAAGGAAAGTGATTAACTTTGCAGACTGTACTGTGTGCTTGGACAAGCGGAACGCCAGTGGCAAGATTGAATTTTACCAGGATCCACTGCTGTACAAATGCTCTTTCAGAACACGCCTCCATTTCACCTATGACAACATCAATTCCAAGATCCCATCTGTGATAAAAGTGAGCAGCTCCAAATCTCAGCAATTACTCAGTAACCTATATTATCATCCACGAGCTCAAGATCAACAAAGTGGTTTATATGGGTTAACACAATGTGATTTTGCTGCCGACACAAATGTAATGAATGGATGCTTGTGATGGGAAAAGTTTAACGTTTTCATAGCAGCTTACTATTGTTAGAGCAACATCCTACTCACTTTTGTTAGGTTAGCTGTTCTTAAAGCGTTAGCTGAATAATAAAAAAAATTTTAGGCCCTTGTTCAAATTCAGTGACATTCTGGATATCTGTGGAGGATAGCAGTTTGTTTTGGCAAGATTTACTTGGCACTTCATATACACAGATACATATAATATGATGTATCATTAGTATTTGGCTTAGGCTCGTGTTCTTTCTAAAGAGATTTGACTTTTATCAGCATCTTGGTTAAATTTGGTCCACCTGTTTGAAAAAAAGGCACATTGTTTAATTAGGCACCAGACAGTTCTGGGGACTCGGTTCTTTGGACTAGTAGCTCCCCGAGCACTACATACCTTCACAGGCTTTTTACCTCTTGGCATTCGCACAGCTAGTAATAACACAGATGTGACGCAACACTAAGCCGGCTGACGATTGGTGATTATCCAACAAGTTTGCAATGGGTAACACATACTGACATTACATTATATATAGGTCCAAAAGCACCTATTGTGATAAGTTTGAAAAAGAATGTTCCAATTTTTATCCTGGGCTGTTGAATCCATTTTTGTTTAAGAACCAGCCAACCATGTTGATCTAGAGCACCCAGTTTAGATACAGGAACTACAGTATCTCCTGTCATGAGAAAACAGCTTTGGGACTACATCACTGATGCTGCTGATCTGTCTCTAGTTAGCTCAATTTAAAAATGACAGTTTTGTTAAGACAAAGTTCTCCTCCTACTAGAGGAACATCACAAGCAGACATGTTCATTCTTCCACACATTGATAGTGGAACAGTATAAAAGTTTAACAGCTAGATTAGAGTCACAAAATAAACTGTTAGCTATGCATTTTTAACTTTTTCATAAAATTTTGTAGATTCTAGCTTGAAAATTGACTGTGGCTATCTGTGATTTGTTTTTTTGTATTGCAATTGTCTCTTTACTGTAATGCTTTATTATTGTCGATTTAATTCACTCCTATTAAATTTTCTCAGATGCTGATCTAAAGTGTAAAAACCAAAAAAACAAAAACCCATCTGCATACAGTCAGTAAAAAGCTTTGTGGTTTTGTTGGCTTCAGTAAGATTGTATAGTGTCCAAGCAACAGCATCATATGTGCAAAGTCTGGCACATTTATAATTCATCTGGTACAGCATGTTAAACAATATTATAGGGTAGTCCACTTTTGACTGTATTCTGTTGCATCTTCTGTTATTTATATTTTATTAACATGGAATAATGCTAACTCTTGTTTCTAAGTGAAAAGATTTGTTGCTGCTGTAGATCACAGTAATCACATGGATTCATGTGGGTGCATTCATTTGCATCTAGTTTCTTTTATGCTAACTTAATGTATAGGACGAGTCTACCTCTTTGTTTACATATACTGTGTGTGGGAATTCATCAGACCTGGTTAGGCCTCTACCCATTTCACGTCGAAACATGTATTTTAAATATTTAAATTATAAATTTAAACGATTTCTTATCCTTTTCTTCCCTTTGTTTTCTAAGCTCCAGACCATGGTCGAGAGCCTGAAGTTGTCTATTACCGATCAGCAGCTGCCCATGTTCATCCGCATTTTACAACTGATTATTGCCCTCTACTATGGGGAAATTGGGGGCCACAAAGAGAGTGAGGCACAAGAAAGTGCTCATGTTAGGGAGACTGGAACAAGTTCACCTGGTGAGTGCTGTCCCTCATGGCAGTGACAGTTTTGCCACTGACATTTGGATTCTTTTGTCTTTACTATTGAAATAACTCTGGGTTGCTTGATTTTATTTTGAATGTTTCTGTAAAGATTGGAGCCAGTTGTTTTTAAATCTGCTTTCAATAGAATTTGACACTTGATTACTAGCAGTGGCTTGAACTTGCATTTGTAATTATATTAGGCTGTGATTTTTACTCTTTGTTCATGTGTTCTCATGCAAAATGGTGAATGAGGCAGTTCTTGTATGGCTGAGGGTCCTCATTTTTACTGAAACTAGTGTACCAAGCAAGGACACAGCAAAGTAAATTAGATTTTCACTGTGAGACAAATTTTTCTACAGCTGTCATTCTCTTCCATAAAAACTAATCAAAAATTATATATAAAGGTCTCACAGCAAATGCAGCATTTTTGTGTCAGTATGGTTTGTGTAGTAGTCATATTTCTCACAAGATGTGGCCAAAGTTCTGAATTGGTTAATGAGCCATCGGACCTAGACTTTTCCTCAGACAGCATTTTCAGCTCCCGATGCTCTGCATGTTGCCTTGCCTTGTTCTGTTCAGGGTCTACATCTGTCCATATGCTGCTGTTGTTCTAAATGGGACATTTAACATCACTTTGACCATGGTGTGCACTCCTCCCGCTTTTTCCACAAACAAAGGTCAGAGCGTGTAACTCAACACAGACCGTTGTCATCAGGACTGATCCCCTCCATGTGGGTAGAGGCAGGAGAGGAGGATGAAGGGAAGAAGCAAGTAGGAATCAAATGCAGGCCCGTCTGTCTTTCTGATTGGATCACCATAGAAAATCACACTTTTTACATACAGGAGCTGAGCAAAATACATGCAGTTGGCATCTCTCACAGGCATACCACACACAGACGTACGCTCACTGCATCTGCATATATGCACAGCCACAGTATTTGTAAGAGCTGAGTGCATACATACAGACTCACACAGGCGCATTTGTTTTTCTATAGTTGTGAGGAAGTTCACTGACATAATGCATTCCCTAGTACCTTACCCTTTCCTACCCATCACCACTGAGTGGATAACCCCAATCTTTACTTTGTACCTAAACCTAATTCACCTAATATTAACCTTTAGACCTTAACCCTCAAACAGCCCCTTGAAGTTCTGAGGACCAGCTGAAATGTCCTCATGATGTCTAAATGTCCTTGCGGTCAAACAAAAATTTGTCTAAAAACCCTAAAAACCCATGCGCACACACACATATATATATACATACATAGACTATATACTTTTAATAGTGTAGCCACCCCATTAAAAACCTCCATCTCATTTCTGAAATGCTCATTTAATCTTTCTCCAACTGCTCATCCTCATACTAGCCAAATAGAACTATGTCAGTCCCAGGTCCTGCTGGGTTATGTCAGTCTCTGTAGCACGCATAGCAAATTAAGGTGGAGGGGGAGTGGTGGGTAGAGGGGCAGCAAGCAGCCCAACACAATACAACCCATGTCCACTCCCTCTAACTTGCTCCCTGCCTGTTTGCCTAGAACTTGGCACAGCTTCCAGTTCAGTGTCCCATGCCAGATGTAAGAGTCAGTGTCATGCTGCTGCTCTGTGGAGCCCCCGAGAATGAATTAGTATCCTTTCACAAAAATATACAAGAGGGGACCAGCTTTTGGAACCCGAGCACCCTTGGATTTTGTTATGCTGGAAGTAATTGACGGAGTGAAGAAGCTGAAAGGGGGTGGAGGGCAGGCGTCTGTGTGGGTGTATATTTTTTGGTGGTGGAGGTCGGGAAGGGCTTTGGCTTTTTCACAAACATATGGTTTGCAGTGTATTCATTTCATATTTAAGTAATAAAGCGTAATTCTTTGGATAATAGTAGCAGAAGTACTGTAGCACTCAAATGCTTTGTTTATAATAATAAATGTAATGTAGGTTTCCCAACCAGTCCAGACAGCATTTACCTTTGATGAATTTTGAGTACAACATTCACGTATGTTGATGTTTATAGTGACTGATTTGGCTTATTTTTAGTGGGTTGTAGTTTGTAGGAAACAATCACTGTCTCATGATTCCTGGAACATGATCATGATATTATACATAGTACCTAATCCCATTCATTTGATTTCCCATAGGCTTCATGTGGAGAGTCTCTTGTGCATATTCTGGCCCCATTACACTCTTTGTGTATTTCTCTCTCTCTCTCTCTCAGCTCTTGCTCTGAACTGTTTTTTTATGTGTGTATGCATCTTTATGGAATGTGTGTTTGTGTGTGGACAAATTAATAAGCCATTACTTTTAACTGGAAGCATTTGTTTTTCTAGAACATGTTAAATGAAATATTAACCCCCCTGTGCAGAAATGTTCTTGTTGCCAAATAAAGCAGAAAACAGCTTATGTATTTATGTACATGACTCACTGGCTGCTTGTTTGACTCTTTCTCTCTCTTTGATAAGGGCTGATGTCTCATTAATGAAAGCACTAGTATATGGTTTGGGATACTTGTGTGTCACTAAGCAAAGCCACCTTTTGCTCCGTATTATTAGATGGCTAGTTTCCCTACTGTCTGAAATTCAATGAAGTCTATGTAACACTAAACATTTTCGCAGTTGGAAACCTAGATGACTTGCATGCTTAAATGAAACAGCTGGTCATGGCAGCAAAAGCTGTATGGTTTAAACAAGTATGTGAAGAATTGTAGACTGAGGACTGTGGCCGCATGTGTGTGCGCTTCTTGCTATACAGTAGCATATGCAGCCCCTTTTAAAAGTAATAGAACGGGCCAATTCATTTGTTTGCTATACACTGAAGACATTAGGGTTTATAGTCAAAAGATGAATATGTAACGGAGGTTTAAAATTGCAGCTTTTATTTTTTAGTATTTACATCTACATACAGATATCATCTAGATTTATTAATGATCCAAAACAACAATTTGGTGTGAATTTGATGTCAGTGAGTCCCAGGCTTAATGATGTTATTGCAAACGAGAGATATGCATCTAAATATTTTATTTACTATAAAACTATCTGCTCCAGTACTTTTTGCTCATTTAAAATTTGATACAACAGGCGGTATGATTAACGTTTAATATATCTAGATGTAAATACCAAGAAATTATTTCTGAACTTCTGTCCCATATTCATCTTTTGATCTTATAACCAAATATCTTCAGTGTGCTACAAACACAAATGACGTGGCCTTGCCATATCTTGGTATTACACTTTTTGGGGTGGTGCGGTATGTTGGCATGTGTATAATTGCTTGGAATAGTGTGTTTGTCCAGTGGCATATGTAGAGGTTTTGCCCTCTGTACATGTGCATACAGAACTGATTGTGTAGTGTTTGGTTTGTAGGATAGCTCACCCTCTCTGTCCTCAGAGGCTTTTCGAATGGAATGGACCATCACACACACATAGCCAGATCATCTCATCTCATTATAAGCCTCATGTGGCTCCCTTATGCTAGCCCAGTGATGTGACAGGGCTTCTTTTTAATCCTTTTTTCACTTTTTAATATTGGTGGGAAGATATGTAGGCCCTTGAGTTTAAAAATTTGAGGACATGGGTGTAAGAGCTTTTTGTCTTGCTGAGTGTTTATTTTCCTTTCTTGAATGCTAAAATGGATTTTAAAACATTTGAATGTTGATGTTGAGGTAGTGCTAAAATAACAGTACGTGACCCACTTGTTTATGTATTCCATTTTTTATATTAAAATAGGTAGGCCTGTGCACTGAAGTGTCTGCATATTATATTATTTTATCTCTGAGGAATAGTTGAACAGATAGTCTTGGATTAGAAAAAAAAAGATGTGTGTTTAATCATGACACATGATATCCTCTATGAATGCATTACATTTATGTACAGTATGTATTCTTGCTTTTATGTGAGAGACTGAAGCTCTAGCCTGGGCATATGCATGTATGCACGTAAGCCCAAAAATGCCGGCCTCTCAGCAGACACAAGATGAGCAGAGTAGCCTGCCTTCAGTGGTCAGGTAACCTGGTCACCTCCCCCTCTGTAAACATGGAGGGACATCTGCTGGCCTGTGAGGGCAATGACTTCTTCCACTGCTATCTTCTTACTGTCTCAGTGTCAGTCAGCTGTTCACTCACTCACACTGTTGCCCAGGGACTTTGGACCAGTTGAAACGAACCTTGACCCTGATACATCCTATTACATAGTACATCTCATCTCTGCATATAAACATGCATGATAATGGGGTACCACACTGATATGTTAGTTGTCCAAGATAACGATCCAGTCAGGCTTTGACTGCACTTACTGTGAGTGAAGAACGGTGTTGTTGTATTTCACATCTGTCTGGTCACAGAGCTCTGCTCTATAGCAGCACACATTGTAACCAGCACACATCACTCTCTGGGAATTTTTGACTGACTGACTTGGATTAATACTTCAAAGTCTTCTTAAGATGTAACGTTTTGATCACTTGATTGGTAATTGTGCTTTTATTTTGATCGCTTTGCAGTTCAGATGTAGGCTTTGTCAAGATCTGACATGAAGCGAAAGAGCTTAACTTGTTGAACTGACACCTCAAAGACTTTATAGCGTGAAAACAAAAAAAAAGAAACAAGAATCAGTCAGGGAGATTTATAGAAAGGCGGAGAGAGCGATAAAAAGCCATGACTGGGATTTCTAACTGCCAGTTTGCAAAGTGAAAAATTTAATTAAAATATGTCATCATTTTCACCACTTTAGCCTCTGGGATGCCTAAGCTGTGACCTCAACGGACAGTATTGTTTTCTCACAGCGGACGTGAGGCCGCAAGGAATGGGATTACACATTCTTTTGTATTGACATCAGCTTCCTCTCTCTCCCGACTTGTATGGAAACAGGACACGATGGGACAGTTCAGAGGTGGGGATTATGGCTGGAGCCATGTGTGGTGGTTTGGTAGACTGTGAACCCCTAAATTGTTTGCTAAAAACAAGGAAAAGGTGATAGTTGATGAGCTTCACCACACTTCTTGTCTTGTTACACTCAACCAACATGTCAATGTACAGACCTACATCCCATTGGGAATCTTAAGTTAGCATTTACCCATTTCTGTTGCTGACAACTAGTCCACTGACACTTTAGCATCTACAATATTTCTGTATTTATCTTTAATCTGTGTTTTTCTCCTGGCATCGTTTTTTGTTATGGATTTGTCACATATTTAAAGCCAACAGACCAAAATGATGGCCATGAAGGAGGCCAGGTAGCTATGGGCAGGCTGAGCTTGGCTAAGGGAGGAGGTGAAGGCTAGGAATGGTCAACTGTGGAACTGCACAAAATAAAACAGAGGAGGTGGGGTGACTGGTCAGGTCAATGTACAAAGTAGTGGGACAAAGCTGACTAAGGCTGAGTCGGACTGCCTGGACTTACTTGTACATTGGGGTGACTGGTCAAGTCAATGTACAAAGTAGTGGGACAAAGCTGACTAAGGCTGAGTCGGACTGCCTGGACTTACTTGTACGCCAAGGTTTAAACAAATACATGTACTGTATATGATCCAACCCCTTGCTTTGTGGATGTGACCTTTTGTGGTTGGGTCCAGCTCAGGCAGCCCTGACCACAGTGATCCACTGGGCCAAGTCGAGGCTGGATGGATGCTGGCTGACAAGCTGTGCCCTCTGGCCTCCATTGGAATGGACTTTCCCTCTCCCTTGCTGTAGAATTTATGCAGCAAATGAGTTCATTCAGCACACTAACACTCGCACACCTGCATGCTGGAGCATTGGCAGCAACTACTGTGAAACTGCATTGGTCTGTGCTTTTTTTTTTTTTGTCTTCAGTTGACAGCTGAAACAGCTTGCTTGTGTTAAACTAGCCTGAAGGCCTGGACAAATTAATTTAGTGTGCTGCACTGGGCACGGACACTTCCATTGGCAACAGTTTTCTCTCTCTGTTTGACCAGGTTGTTCTAAGAATATGCTTTTTTTTTTTTTTTTTTTATTTATCTGTTGGAGTTAAAACGTACTAGAAGGGAATTGAATGTGGACACTTTTTAAAATCTGAACCCTGAGAATAAAATACTTTTGGCCAAAAGTATTTGTACAACTGTAACACATTTGTTTTTTGCACAAGATGATAGCCCTCTGTTAATAGGATAATTATGCAGTTTTTAAAGTCTACGTTATATGTGCCAGATCTTTGTAGATTTGGAAGTGTGAATTGTAACCTGTATATTTCCAATTAATGTTTTGATCTACAATAAAATCATCTACTTATTTTCACATTATAACTAATTAATACTTCTTTTCAGGGCTGGATGTGGATATGGAAAGTCAGGGGACTAGCCAGTACTCCAACACAGGCCTATACATGCAGTCTGACAGTCCTGAAGAGGAAGACCAGGGCTGGATGTCCTGGGCTTGGTCTTTTGTCCCAGCCATCATAGGCACAGAGGAGGAAAGCGAGGAAGGTCTTGACCAGCAGAGAGAGACAGGAGGCATCCCCAACAGCCCCCAACAACACACACCTAAAGACCCCATTGTTTCCATAGGCTTTTACTGCACCAAAGCTTCTGTCACCTTCAAGGTAAATCAGCTGTGTGGAAAGGCATACATCATCAATATCATTTCTAATTGTCACATGAGGTCCGGAATGTATGCCAGCATACCTTGGTGAATGACAGTGATATTTTTCTGTGTGAAGTTGAATCACGTCTCTGGGAACAAGGAAAATATAATCAGGTTAATGTCAAACATCAAAAGACCAAACCAAAATGACCAAACATGGGTAGGTTTAAAGATAGGTTAATACATTTTTCAGTTTGTTCTTAAAATAGTATTGATGTATCTGAGACTAGATCTTGGTTGCTGTAACTTTTTGTACTCTACACTGCCCCTGAAGCTTTTCACCTGGAATGTAAATGTGCAAAAAAGAGCTACTTTGGTGAGTGGGAATAGTGCGGTCTATTCTCACACGTATGTTACAAATACAGTTTTTGTTCCTTGCTACTGTACATTATTGTTTAGCCGGTCTCACTGCCCAACTCACTCCTACAGCTTATGCAGTATTTTGCAGCCATTTTAAGTTTGAGTCTTAAAAACCAGCTTGATCCTCAGGAGGCTTTGTTGGTCTTGATTTCTGTGTGGGGTACATGACGGGTAGTGTAACTGGTGTCTTGGATCACAGTAACGTTTTAAACATTAGACATGGTATGATGACGATTCAGAAATGGATCCCAAACTTTAATCCGGCCTCCTCCCTCAGAATAGTTGGAATTCATCTGTAAATCCTCTCAGTTTCAGGCACAAACGATCACATTATTGCTTATGTGTGTATACACTTGTATGTGATAAGAGAAAGAGAGGTATGGCTCAGGCCAGACCATGGTGCGTTTCTAATGATGTTTAAATTGTTGCTGTATTGTTTGAGTTCTTTTAATCAATTAATTGCCTCTCCTCTAGAGTAATTGCAGACAGCTTGAAAGGATGTTTTTTTTTTTGACATTCTCATCTCTTTCCTACAAGGAAGTATTTAGTTTGAGGGAATTTCAGATCTTTGAACAGCCACTGCCTGAACCTGAGTTTGACATGCATGTGAAATTAGAGGGGTATTTTTAGAATGCTGACGCATTACTCCCCAGATATGTTTGATTAGAGAAATTGGCAGCAAACTTTAATGCCTTCTACACACACACAGTGCATAGTTTTTCACTGACCGTTTTGTTCCCCCTTTTCATTTTTGCACACCTGTCAAACTCTGTGCATGCCAGACCTCATGTCACTTTTCAAGAAACATGAGGTCGTTTTTTAAAGAAAGTTTTTCGTTATTGTTGGTATTTTTATTTCTTTCAACAATAGTAACGTTTATGTGGTCTCAAATCCTTTTTTAGTTTCTCCATCAGCTCCTGCTAATGTTTCAGAGAAAATGGACATAGACAAAGTACCCCAATATTCACATCCAGTTAGAACCTTTCCAAGAAGTTACATAAAAAAATCTTTTAATTTGTATTTGGACTCCCAAAGACTTCAACTGGGAATGTAATGGCTGCAAGAGCTCTTTGTATTACTGGCCTCATGAAGCGTTTGTATTGCTATGCTGCGTCTCTGTCCTGGTTGGGAGTGTATCACCACCAAACGTGTTGGAGGTGATGTACAACTATAGTCTTGTCTGCTGTGTTGTTCCAGTCCTAGATACAGCCAGAACCGCCACACCAGTCTAGCTTGGATAATGCCAAGGTGGCCAAATTCTTATTAAATAAACATTGATCATGTGGCAGCTATTTAGTGTCTGTTCCACTATTCACTGATATTTTCAGACAGAGCAATTCTTTAGTCAGATAATTGAACACCCTTGCTCTCGACCGCTCCCAGGAACATGATGTTGGGATATGGTGTTCCCTGCATGTAATCAAACCATCAAAATCAAAAGAGGGGATGGGTCTGGGGGTGAGAGAGTCTGCACCATCACTTGGGATAATAAGACACAGCTGCTTCTTGTACTGCACCTGCTTCCTGTGTTAAAGTTGAATGGACTGGACCCTGCGCAGTTCTGTTCTACACCCATCGTTCTTAGACTGGCAAACCTCAAAAGCATCACAGCTACAGTATGTACCCGTCTGTTTCTGCCTTCACACTGCCTGTATACATAGGCTCAGTACTATAATGAATAACAACAACCGCCTTTTCTTCTATTATCATTTTGCACCATGGTATCTTGAGTGCTTTAGTCATGTACTGATTGTCATCCCCCAATAAAGCCAGAGAGGGCCTCCTCCAAAATCAAAGATCAGTGGCTGTCATGTGGTCTGATGAACGACTTTGGCCTGAGTCCAAGCTTAGAGGAGAAAACGACCAAGAAGTCCCAAGGCTGGCATCCAGTCTGTGATCTAAGAAAATGTCATCTGTCCTTGTTTGGATGTTATCGTCTCTGGTTTCAAGCATTATTTTCAGGGGCCTTGTTACCCTTTACATCCATCCATGGCTTTTGTTTATGTCTTAAATCATGTATCTGTTTCAGCAGTGAATTCTGGGTACGCACACAATGAGATCCATGCCTTCTAGTTTTTGTGCATCTGTATTGTTGGTGTAACTCTTACTTTCGGTGTCAAACAAAACCTTCTGGTGTCCTCTTCCAACATTTTGATGTGACAAAATCTCCTCTATGCTTAACTAGTGTTGCACAGTTTTCCTTTTAATATTGCAGTATTTGTTTAGTTTTAATCTGATTTAATTATTTTTAAATACATAACCTTTGGGATCCAGCACTGTCACAAAACCATAACTGTAACACAAACTAAAACCTTGTAAAGTCCCCAGTTCTCATGGTCTATTGCTTTGATGGATTTTTGTGTCTGTTACCTGTTAAAGCATTTCACTGAATTTTAATAGTAATTTTTTCACAGATTAGAGCAAGTCAGAATTTTTATTTCTTCCTTTTTCTTTCTCTCATCTTAGCTGACAGAGACGCAGTCAGAGAGCAGCTACTATAGTCCTCAGAAGGTTAAGTCCAGAGAGGTACTGTGCCTAGAGCAACAGGGAATCACTATTGAGGTAAGACTTTAATTTTGAATTCTTACCATAAGTTTGCAATAGTAGCGACTGATTTTACCCTTCTTAAAAGCAAGCTTGTTACTCATCCTGTCTGGAACAGAGCAACATAGTCCTGTCCTCCCTTTTAGTTCCCCATTATTATTGTCTCCTTATTCGCTGTTGAGCAGAGGTTCCTATTAATTGCCTCTAAGTACATTTATACGACCACTCCAGGACACTAATCTGTGGCCTGTTGTGAGTGCAGTGGAATCTGTTTCTGAGTCAAGCCTGATCATTTCTGCATTTTCCCCCATGGTGTAGAAAATATTTTAAAATCTTTTTCTATGATTACCTGGTTGGAGTATAAAATGGGGCTTTTTGCTCCTAAGCTTAGTAACAGATGTGAGAATTCTGAGAGATTTCCAACTCCAATTTCTGTAATTTATGCTTTTGCTAGAAGAAAGAGAGCAGTCTGAGCTGGGACCAAAACTGAGAATGTTGAAATGCAAATGAATGGCTAGTTAAAACTGGGCCTTATTATTATGTAGTGAAATGTAAAGGTTTATAGGATTGATCTCTGCTCAGATGTTTCCTGGGTAAAGCAAACACATGGTGAGTGAATGGCATCACCACTTGGGCACCCATATGCACACCCCAGTCTCTAGGGAAAATGGAAACAGTCTTATCCCTGCTGTTTTTATGACAATTAAATGAGCCCGTAAACTCATGGTGGAGAACCTTGTTTGTGATAAGGCTACAGCAAATTTCACTTTTTGTTTTATTGTGATCTAAGAAAGTAATTTAGTGAATTACTGCACTGGTATTAACTTCCTGAGTGTTCTTTTGGGAGGAAAGGATTCTGAAGCTGGCATTTTCTCCTTCAGTTTTTACTAACCTCCCACTGTCACATCCTCAAGTTTCCCTTCATATTTCTTTACCATGTAGCTAAATATATTATTAATCAGTTTTTCAATTAATAGGTTTCCTGTGACACTGTACAGGCTTTTATGTTGCTGTAGCTAAAGGGCTCTGGAGTTTATTCACTTTCACTCTTTGTTCTCTGTGTAGAGTTGAGTACATCTAGAATATAAACACTTGTTCAAGTTTTTTCCTCTGGTCTTTATTCCAGGTGCTCATGATGGGGGAGCCCTTCTTCAATTGTCAGATTGGCTTTGTCGGCTGCCGGGCACTGTGCCTGAAAAGCATCATGGGAGTACGGGATTTTGAGGAAAATTTGAACCGAAGTGAAGAGGTAAAATCAGCCAGAAAAATTAAAAAGGAGGAAAAACATGAGTCAGAAAGATTAAAGGAGAATTCACATGCCCAGGGAAGAGATCATTTATACCGAAAGCAGCCTCTCCTGCTCCCAAGAGCTTTCTGAAGGAGGTGGAGATGTGGTCTGGTTTGTTTATGGAACAGCGTGTCCAGCTTGCCTTTTGTAAATGTTCTTTGTTTGCCACTGTGTCAAAAACATTTTCACTGTCTGCATACATACAGTTTCACTGGCTTAACCAAAATCATAATAATTCATCAACTGTTAACTGTTTTTATTTTTCGAATGACATTTTTTAAAGTGTGTGTTCACCTATGTTATATTACATTGAACAAAGGAAAGCAAATAATTTATATTAAACTAAATGCTTTTTATGACGTTTGGATTGTATTTTGTGATATCTGAAAGTTGTTTTTTTTTCTTTTTCATTGTCTCTGCATTCTTTTTTTTTTTTTTTCCTTAACCTCTCCTCATTTTTTTTTGTATTTTCTCTGTGCGTCTTTAGCATGCTGTGTTCTTCCGCTGTGGGGACAGCCTAAGCAGTAAAGGAATGACCTATCTTACCAACTCCCTCTTTGACTACCGCAGTCCAGAGAACAATGGAGTCAGGGCGGAGTTTGTCCTGGATGCTGCTACTCACAAGGTCACAGTAAAATGAGATGGATTCAACCCTTTTCGAAGTTCCCATCCGCTGTAATACTGTATCCAAGTACATTGTTCTCAGACAGTTTTATTTTGGAAAACATCTGCTTTTGATGGTTCAAAACGAGCAAATGCAGTGATCATTCTAATTTAAAGCACTCCCTTTAGATTATTTCTGTTAGTCACCCAGTTGCTGCCTGCAGTAAAGTAATGGCTGCTGATATCTAAGTAATAGTGTTAATGCCATTATTCCTCATAACTCTCAGCTCCCTTAATCAGCCTTCACAGCTCTAGTGTTGTCTCTAAGAAATGCTCATGACCCTCAATGAAGTAACTGTTTGAACATCCATCCATCTGTCCATAGCAATCTAGGAGTCAAAGGTTTTCGTGTTAATTCATTAGTGGTTTTGTAGCCAGTCAGCGCCTTCAGTCCAAAAGTATGCCAGGGCCATTAGAGATCCCTTAATAAACATTACTCATTTACCCGTCTCTCTGATAAGGTTCCATTGAATTCTCTGTTTAGAGAACAAGTGGGCAAGTTTGGGGTGGGGTGTTAACTGTGTGTGTCTAAGGGGCCTCTCATTCTCTCTCCCTCCCTCCCTCCCAATTTGTCCCTCATAGTCTCTTTCTTGCTCAGTATCTCATTGTTTACTAGTGTTTATGTGAAGTAGAAATACAGTATAACTTTCAAATATTGACTAGGACGTGGTCAGTAGCTCTTGACTTGCAGACTAATAAATTATGATGAGTTATGATGTAACAATACACTTGACAGCCAGGTAAATCAAGAAGAAGAAAGAAATGCATAGGTTTAAATACAGACAGGTGACAAATGAAAGGTCAAACCAACAAAGTATCTCAAGGTGTTGGGCCACCAGTACAGGTTCAGTGCACCCTGGACTTTGATTCTATAAATCTCTCAACTCTCCTGGAGGAATGAACACCATTCTTCCAAAAGATATTCCCTCCTGATGTTTTGATCATGGTTGTGGAGACACTGTCGGTCCAACATCTCTCATACAACTAGGTGTTGAACTGGTTTGAGATCTGGTGACTGAAGACCATATGATTCACATCAGTTTCATTCTCATCAAACCATTTACTGACCCTGTGAGCCCTATGGATGGGGCTGCTGTCATCCTGGAGAAGACCACTCCCATCAGGATAGAAATGTTTTATCATAGGTTAAAGGTGATCACTCAGGACAATATTGTATTGTTTTGCAGTGACACTTCCTAGTGCTTTAGTTTTTCTTGGTGGCACTTGTGTGTTCTTTTTGTGCTAGTTGCACTTCCCTGTTTAGGTTCTGTTGTGCTACCAATGTCAAAAGAATGCAGGCTTAGGTCAAACTCTAAACTGCCCATAGGTCTGAATACGAGTGTCTCTACAGGGGCTTTTGCAGTATAGGAACCTCCTGAAATGTGTCATGCCAAATGATGGTTATCATGAGTTCTGTGTTTGTTTCCACTATGGTGCATTCTGGGAGCTAAATTTTAGCACCTCTCAGGGGGTAGTACTAAAACCAAGTACTAGGAGGGGTACTTGGTGGGGAGGGTGTGAGTGCACACAGAGCAGTTGCCAGTGATTGGTTAAAGCTCCGTGTCTTCACATCTGAAGCATTAGCATTATGAGCACCGTGTGTAAACACATAGCTGACTGGAGGTCCTCTAAACAGACACAGAGAAAATGCAATGGGAAAAACAAAACAGGACAGTCCATGTTAACCCTGGAGGCTATGCTTGGTGATGGTTAAGGGAAGTATGGGGTAGACCGCTCGTTGGGTTGTGATAGTTGAAACGCAGCATAATATGTGCACCCTACCTCCTCCTGAATGTGCACTTGGATAGGCTGCCACCACCCTGCAACCAGGGAGAGGAAATTAGCCAATTGGAAATAGAATCTTTTGTAACACAATTTTAGTGTTAGGAAACTTAGAAAGTCCCTTAATGATGATGTTTTTTTTTTCCAAACTTGTTTATTGCTTACTGGTACAGTTTATATTGCATTCATGCTTTTAAAAGAATGGTGGTACCAGTTCCACTCAGTTTTGATTTCTTATGAAAAGTCTTACCATCTGTTAGATATTTCTAGAGGCATATATCCAAGCACCTCTCTGCCTTTAACCAGCAGCTCAGTATACTCTATAAAGAACGGATTTGATATTTAGTCAGTACTTCTCTGAAGTATTCAGAAGTTGCTTATACATATTTACAGTGTACACTCTGATAAAGTACTTTTCATGTCTTTGCAAGTAGTCCTGAGTATTGGTGATATGATTTGCCAATTAAACAAACAAAACAATCCACCTAAGTAGATCACACTCTTCTATAAGGCTCTATTGCTGATTTGACCCCCTTTCCACTATGACCCCAGTCACTGCCGCTCTTGAAGGCTATCAGCTTGTTTGCTCCCTTACTGCTGAATATTTACCTAACTCTCTTTTGTTTGGCAGGAGACCTACACGGAGATAGCAGGCATGCAGCGCTTTGGTGCTTTCTACATGGATTATCTCTACACAATGGAGACCAGCAGCGGTAAAGGTATTATCTAATTCATTGCTCCTTATGAACTTATTTGCTCACTTTGCCATCCCCTGCCTTTTCTTTTTATATCTGCCATGTTCTCTTATTATTCCCGCTCTGTTCTTCCATCTCTTTCTCTCTCAAACATCCTCCGGGGAGATTTGATGAAAGAGCTTGTCTTGTTTGAGCTGCTGCCACCTAGTTCTTGACCCTTCCTGTCCTTGCTCTCACCTCAAACTTACCTGGAGGGCAATTGTCAGAAGTGTTTAGTCTTTGCTGCCATGTATTTGAGATTCCTTCTCCAGTTTGCTTGTTAAAGTACTGTTTTCCCCCTTCTCTTTACCTGTAAGAGCTTTAGAAAGTGAATAGGCTCCTTTAGGCTAATTAGATGTCACTCTTCCTGTTAGAATCCTTAAGATGGGCAGGATTTCTCATTCCTCAGCTGCAGCGCTCAAGAATGTATTTTCAAGTCTGAAAGATCTAAAGTTCAAATTAAGAGATGGTGTTCTGGATAGGTTGAAATGTTATTTGGCTCACATACGTCTTGGTGCTTTAGTGTGTGAATGTTGAGCATTTCTTTTTAATGCTGCTTGTGTGTAAGTGTGACAGGTGTCACACCTGGCATTCACAGGTTTGATAACATGCTGTGCACATAATGAAATACAATCTGATAAAGCCTTTCCTGTGTCTGATGGAAAAGTCCATACACGGGGTAACTTTAAGACCCATGTGTCATTCTGTGTTTTGCAGATGTGGTTTTACTGTATTGACCATGTTTCATGGAGTGGAAACAACCATTTACTGTGATGATTGTTAGGTAGAAATGTAAAATGATCTAGTGACTTCAAAAAGTAATGAAATAATTGACATTTTGGCCCATTGGTTTACAGTACATTCAATAACTGACAAAGTGAAAACATGTTTTTGAGTCTTTTTTTTAATTAAAAATGTAAAACTGAAATGTAATTTTTAAAAGTTCAGACCTAATTCAACAATTTGTGGAAACCCCTTTAAATTCTGATCAGTTCAGTACAGTCTTATTTGCATATCATCAAGTCACAGCAACGTTCATCTCAGGGCACTTTACGTAGTTAGGTCTAGACCTTACAGTATTGTAGAGAAAAACCCAGTAGATCCCCCTTTAACGGAGGAACCCTCTGACAGACCCTGGCTGTTCGTGGGCGGCCTTCTGCCTTGACCGGTTGGGATGAGTGGATAGAGGACAGAGAAAAAAAGAGAAGCAACAAGACACAACAAAACCACCGTATAGTGCGCAGGGGCTTTTTTTTTTTTAAATAGTAAAGAAACAAATATCTGGTTGAACCATTTCAATGCAATGAACAGATCATTTGACTTAACAGTCTATAATAATGTCACCTGTGTATTTTCCCCTGCTTCCCTCTTCCCCCTTTCATTTTACTTCTCTCTTACTGTACCTTTTTCTGACAAGGTTATTGTTTCCTTCTGCTGTCAGCTAAAGATAATAATCTAAATTAAAACAAAACACTGATACCGTCATCCTGAGCTGTCAGAGTAATTTCTGACAGCAGGAAAAGTGTCAGTCTCTTCTCCTGTGGGACGCCTGTAGTTACCCTTGACAATTGGAATGCTTCTCGTCTGTCAGCGTTTCTCTTCTCAGACACGGAGCAGATCCAGTGTCAACAAAACAAATTAGTCTTTATTGCCACGGGACTAACACAAGCTCTGAGTCAACCAAAATCCTAAATGACCCGGGTCACTCTCACCATAGACTTCACATTAGAGTAATGCTGCAGATTATAAAAAAATTTAAATATTGGGAAATGGAGACCCTTTTGATTCTACTAAACCCTGGCTAATTTCAGACCCCTCATCATTCCACTGATAGTTGTAACTGCTGCCATATGGTTGATATTAGGCCTAATCCATTGTAGCCAAGTCTCACTGAAGAAAGGAAGGGGAAGTGGCATTGCCCGTTGCCCTTTATAAATTTCCAGAATTCACTGTGCGTTTCACCCCCATCCCCCAGCCCATTCAGCTAAAAAAAGTTCAATTCACAGTGCCGACTGAGTTTTAGGGATGGTCAGTGCATTGGTCGAATGTAACGGGAATAAAGTTGTGATCCTTTGTCCTCTTCCACCTTCATCTGCCCCCTTCTTTTATTTTTAATATATCTGTTTATATTGCTGGAGAGCTGAGTCTTTCAAGTGAACTTCTGGAACAGGGCCTGTGATGAATGAAGGCACAGCTGTGTGCAGAGAAGTGGACATTTGGAATATTCATCATTTCAGTGGTTCAAGTTTTTTTTTACGCCACTGCCATGTCTGTTATTTTGCCCAGCACGAGGAGATTCTAGGCTTGTGTTCCTAAAAAAAACCCTAGAATATTGGGAGACATTTTGGTGCCCTAAATGTTTATATACAATAGGTGTTGTGTCTGCTGTACTTGGAATTTACAAATCTGTGAAGAATGTGTTAAATTTGCGGAGAGATCGAAAATAGAATTCTGTTTTGTCACAGCACATACATTATGTAGGTGTGCTTCTGTTTGTAGGCTCTCAGGACTTCTCAGCACTCAATACTGAGGAGGTAGTGCCTTCTGTTCAGGAGACATCCATGAAGAGGTTGGTGGTGGGACCTCTAGACATCAGGCTGCATAGTAGTGCTGTCCATCGCATCCTCAAGATGATCACCTGTGCCATGGACCACGAGTATGAACCCTATTGCAAACCACAGCGAGGTCAGTCTCTGTAACACCTGTTCTATTTGTTTTACTAGGCTGACTTAGTATTCAGGTAACAACTAATAGTTCACTCCTTCAATCAACTCACCTTACACTCTTTTCAACACCGTTTCCTACTGTATCTTCTCCTGTAATCTGCTAGAGTCTCTTCTCTTCCACCCTGTTCTCCTATGTTCTCTTCAGCCAGTGATCAGAAACGGCACAGTCTGCACTTCATAGTGCCCTCATCACATTGTTATTTCCTTGCACAACCCGTCTTTCAACACACAGCTGTACATGAAAGTAGTGACCTTTTGGACCACATAAGGGAGGTTAAGCCAAACACCTTTGTCAGTGATCATCTGTACACAGCTATTGATGAGCTCATCCCTGAGATGTTGTGAAAGAACATGGAATGTGTGTCTGTGTGTAATATCTGTAGCAATAACTCCCATTTTTGCGAAATGATAACATCCGTAGGTTTCGGTTGTTTCAGCATCTGCAATAGATAACAGATGATGGGGTAATTACTATAGAGCTTTTGACTAAGGCTCAGTAGGTCAGTGTGTTCTTTCTTCTTTCTATATGTGTCTGTGTTCTCTGGTATTTTCTGGAAAAGGGTTGATATAGTTTGAGCTCTGGGGAGAGATTGAGAAATTGAGTAGATAAAAGATGAAAACAAAGTAACTATTGCAGTGTGAATGATAAAATAGCAAATGCCTTACGTATTTTCTTAAGTCACTGTCTCTTCTCCTCTTCTTTCCCCTCCTTTGTTTTTTTAATTACAATATTATTTCCTTTAGCTTTGCAGAGCCTTGCTATTAAAACAAACATGACAAAATTAAAAGCCATTCATTTCAGCACCTTGGTGCCTATATACATCGGTAGTTATTGACTTTTTAAATCAGAAATGGGAATTCATATATAAGTCACTGTCACAATTGAAAACAAAAATGTGTGCAGAAAATGTACTTAGAAACTTTGGTATGTTCACTAGCAAAGTCTGTATCAGCTGATGGACGGATGATCTTACTGTAGTTCTCACTCTTTGCCGTGGTCCTGATTTTGTCTAGCCTTGAAATATTTTTGGTGACAGCTGCTCTGTACTCCGGCCTTGTATTCTTGAGGGCAGTGTTTTTGTGTTTGCCGGGAGTGAAGCAGAGGTCAGGGGTCAGAGACATGATTATATGCCCACTCATCCTTTCCCCTTCTTCTCTGCTGCACATCATACAGTATACTCCTTTCCAACAGCTCAGGAAGAATCATTTTGCTCGCCAAAACTAGCCGGTGTATGCGAGTCTTATAAGAGCTTTCCCTATTTAGAGTGGAGGTTTCAAGCTTACGAATTACTTAGTGCATTCTTTTGTATCAATGTTTTATATTGTTATTTCCTATATATTGCCTAACAACAAAAGAACAGAACAAATAAACTTTGGATCTGCTAAACAGAACTGGAAAATATAAGTTATGTTTAGACTAATATTTTCTGTGTGCAAGTCTGTATATGGTTTTTGTGCACACTTTTTATGAGTGTTTTAATGTATGTAATCATACCTGGGTGTACCATATGAGCTGCATGTTTGTTGTAATTTAAATGCTGATTTCAGCTTTTCTTGAGCTCTGGCATAGGATTAGATTGGGCATGGCAGTGCCAGATGAACCTGGTGCAAGCTGTCGTAGTACGCCAAATAACAGAACAGCTCTGTGATCAGGTTCTCAGCCCACCTTAGAGCTGGGAATGTAGCCCAACAGACCCTTTACTGAACTGAAACAATCCTCGTCTTAGGGCCAGGGCCAGAGCCAAGGCTGTTCACTAACAAAGGGCTCAGGTTTTGGTCCACCTCAGGATCTGGACCTGGTTTCGTTGTTCAGTACTCTGCCACTTCTCACTTTGATGAGTACCAGCCTTGCTGCCTTCCTTTTATAGAAACTGATGGTTGAAAAACAAAGCTACTGGGAAACAGGCAGTGTAATGAATATCGCTTACAGATGCCAGTACTTCTGTTGTGTATGTTTTAGTGTATGTGGAGGTGGTTTTTGTCAGAAAAGTCTTTTTATTTTTTTATTTTATTCTTTTAATGCTGTATGCATAGAGGAAAGGCACCCACTCAAAGAAATTGTTGTACATTTTCAACTTTACAGCTTTCTCTCTAAAATAAAGTTTGTTTAGTTGTCAAATCCAAATGTGTTTAGCCTTTCCTGCGCTCTCACCTTATTTCAGATAGTGCACCACAATTCGCATACTTGTGGTCAAGATTCATTTGGTTAAAATGAAGAAACTGGTTGTTTTTCTAATTCTGGATCTTACACTTTACCCCTTGCCTTTCCTGTACCTTTGCTAACATCTTTCCTTTTGTTCGATCATTATCTCTGTAGAAATGATTGAGGAGAACCATGGTCCAGCTACGCCAGAAGAAATATCGAGCTTGGAGGAATTCATCCCAAACCGACTCACTTGTCTTACTCTCCTCCAAGTCTCATTCACTGTCTCCATGGCAGAGTTCAACCTCCTTCACACACTAATGCCTGTCATCATGGGATGCAAGGTATTGCAGACTGATGTACTTTGTTCTAATCCTTACATTCTTGTCCTTATCTTTTTTTCCAGAACCTCCTTTTGAAGTGTCATTAATTATATCATGGGTGATTGTATTGTATAAGGTTATGGTTTGAAAATTTAATAAACGTACCACATTATAGAAATATATATATATAGCTTTTAGCTAATTTGTCTTAAGTCTGTGAATATAATGCACATCCACTCTACAATTCACACTGCAGCCACTGACATAGAAGCCTCTATGCACTTGCACAGATTGATGGAAAATTGGCTTCAAAAATGTATTTTGTTGTTTGAAAGCTATAGATTGCGAAGATACTTGCTGTATTGAGAACAAATTTTCAAACACACTTCCAGCGAGGTTAACATCTCGCCAAATAGATTTAAATATATTATAATTATTTGAATACATTAAATATTTCAAAAAGGATGAACACATTCTTCATCCTTTTAGTGACAGGAAATGAACTTTTATTGTATTCTACAGTAGCTGCTCTGGTTTTAGTCACTTTAATTTGTATGATTCCTGACCTTTTCCTCACAATAGGTCCTTAGCAAAAAGATTTAGTTCAAACATCATGTCCAGTCATTTTACATATCCTCATAAAAATTACACCAAATTCATGTTGTTGATTTAATTCAAACATCAACTTGTCACAGATGTCAGTAAATAATTGGTCAAGAGATTTGAGGAGGACAGATGCAGACATTTTGACTGTGAGCTATAACCTGAGCAATATGTGTGCTATATATACTCACTTTTAATTTTCCAACCTTTTCTATCTTGCATGTTCCAGGCTACACTTCGACCGGTCAGTGTGCCCGTGTTTCAGCCAGTGTGCCCTCTACCTTCTGTGCAGTTCCAGGTAGAGAGGGTGAATATTGAACACTCGGTGCCTATGTATGCTGCAGAACTGGTCAGTGCTGTTGGCAGTCTCACCCAGCCCTCGGACAACCTGCTACATCACTGCTATGCACACCTCTACCTCAAGGTGAGCCAGGACAGTGTTCCACTCTGTGGTACTGATTCGGATGAAGAAAACCAAACAGAAATATTCAGAAATCTTAGCTATCCTTTCTGTAGACATAAAACAGTGACAAATATAGGACTTCATCCTTTTCATAAACTTTGTCTGTGTGCTAATAAAAGAGTAGCTTCTATGTTAGAGCTGTATCCTACAGCTATGCCTGACTTTTCCAGAAGGGTCAGTCTTATCTTCTTACAGTATCTTCAGTGTATTACATTAACCAAAATATCAGTTGCTACCATTTGTTATTCTAATTAGCACATCTTTTCCCATTTGTTTTCTTTCATTTTTTTTACTTTGCTTTTTATCTTTCATTTGTCTTAGCTGACACAAAATATACATACATATACTAATAGTCCAGAGTCAGTGGATGCATATCTACAGGCTTATCTCCAATCTGAAATAACCTTAATGACCCCTTTTCACATGGTCATAAATATCAGCATGGAGCTTCCTGATGAGCGCCAGACCAACTCCGGTTTAATTCATGGTTTACACCTACCAAATTGATGGGATCCTACAGGCTTGTATTGTGCAGCTGTGACATTAACATGCTCACGTGTTGGTTGTATAGCTTTGACTTTCTTTGAAATTCTTTGAAAAGCTTTGAAATTCACTGATAAGGAGTTACTTCTGCCAACAACATAAAATTTGGGGTCTTAGACAAAATCTTTTGTTTCTTCATAGAACACGTTTTAAAATTCAGATTTTTAAACTTTCATCACCCATCCTTTTCTTAGATGGTCTAATTTAATCAGGCCAGTTTTAATTAACACTTGCTTATTATGTTAATAGAATATCATGGCAGTTACCAATCTCCGTGTGTGGACATAAGAATAGTCAGTTGTGAGAATAGCTGTTTTTATATATATATATATATATCACATAATTTGTTGTTAGAGTACTTGATTAGCATTTAAAATTGGTAAAGATACTATTGTTGAGCAGCAACTTTATTATAAGTATAGTCTTTAATACCTCTCTATAGATGGTTCATGGTAAAGAATTTACAGTAGAAATGTCTTAGCTTTTTGTGGTGCATAACTGTTATATGAATTGTTTACACAGACGTTGTTTCATTGCTTACTTAAATACAGAAGTTGAAGCCATATCTGTTGACTGCAGTAAACTGCATGTTTATCTCTCAATTTGCCATTCAGAATTACCTATATACAAACTAGAACTAAAGAGTTTATATCTGTATTGCACATAATGTTGCAAAGTGCACATAATGTTGCAAAGTGCCATAGAGTACATATAAAATTGTGGCGGCTTTAGCATATCCAGCTACTCCTCCTTTTAGGTGTTTTGGTTAAAAGATCTGGAGTAGATTGCCCAGTCTAGCCTGGATTGGTTTGGGGTTCATCCCCCAAGGCAGGATGTTTGCTGGACATCATGCTGGTAGTCCTTATCACAGGGTCGCCGCAGGGTTAACAGTCAACTGGTCAGTGGACCAGGATCATTCTGACCGATTAGCATCTGTATCTGCCAAGGTACTAATTCTAGCTCTGGATTTTGATAGTGGGATCACCACAGGGTGAAGGTCATTCTGGCTGCAGCTCTCCCAATTGAGGAAGTGACTTGAAATGGGTATAACCTAGGGCTTATCTTAATCTGTGTTTTATTGACTCTGGCTGTCAGAGCTAAGGTGTCTGTTTTGTGGGTAGCAGTTAGCCATTGTCTCACTTTTCCATGATTATAGACAGGAACTCAAAGTTCGCCTATTTGCTCAGCAAGAGGTCACAGCAGTTAATAGACCTATCATAATTGAAAACTTGATCTATTTGCAGAACTAGTCACTTCATGCTGCTGAAAGGAAGGAATTTGAAATCTGGTCTCGCAGAGAAAGCTGTGGCCTTATGGCTCCAAGCTTGCATTTCAAAGTGGGATTCTTATTAGGTCTAGCTTCCTATCTGGTAATCATGTACTGCTCAGCTGTGTAATATTACATTTATGGTCCAGTTCTCCTATTAAAAATTATTTTAGTTTTGTACAACGTTTTTGTGTCTCCCCTCTGGGGCATCTGCAGTGTAAAGTGAATCACTTCTGCTCTGTGTATATAGGAGCCAGCCATCATTAACTTCCTCCAGTGTAAAATTAAATATCATAACATAGTTGATGCTACTGAAAATTAACAGTGGAGTCTCTGGGTGAGTTGGGGGAATGTACTGTTAATTGCAAGAAAAAGTATCAATTTTCTGCTTTTCTAACTCTTATGGTAATCAGTAGAGATAATCAGCAGTGTTTTTGTTGCTGTCTTTTCTGTACATTCACACTGAGACTCTTATGTATATACACTCATTTATAGAAACGTCAAAGTAATGCTGAAAACCTAGTTCACTCTGTATATACAGTATGTTATATTAAACTATCTGTGTTAGCAAACTGCATAAACTACTTGAGATCATTTTACCTTTTTAAGACTCGGTAATGTGGACACTCACTGTCACACTGCAGTGGTCGCATCACTTCTATCCTGTTATGTTAATTATGCCTTGAAAAACTATTACAGGAGAAAAAAATATTTTGCTGTCTTATGTACTTAAGGTATGCATGAATTTTGCTGACAGTTCAGCATGAAGACTACCTCCCAGGCTGTAAGATGGTCTTGCTGACAGCTGTTTGTAATGATGGATGCTAAAGTGGTAAGAGCCCTGGCCTGCAGGATTAGAGGTCCGTCAGCTCAGCTGAAGATGGATAAGTTCAAATTGGTTTAGTGGTGATTGAGATGAAAGAGCAACAGTGCTGGCTGTGTGCTTCTGTATTTTCTTTTCAGAGGTGGTGTGAACTCGGTGATAGCTAACATGTTTTTTTTTTTATGTGAATGTAGTAAATTGTTTGATCTGCAAAATGCTAATTTCCATTTCTTTGTCTCCCCTTTCTCTTTCCTTCCCACAGTCTCTCTCTTATTGACTCTCTCTCTTTGCAGGTGTTTGGATTCCAGGCAGGCCTGACATGTCAGGACAGTACAGGGGCTCTCCTGCCTCTCATTCCCATCATCCCTTCCTTTAGTACCGCTCTCTATGGGAAGCTGATTCAGATGCCTACATACTGGTGAGTTTGTAGCACTTGTACTATAAATGAAAGTTTGAGTGGGCATGGAGACACAGGTAGAGACCTCTTTGTGAACTTAGATTATTAAACTTAACATAGCAGCAAATGTAACTGAAGTTTAATGTAAGTGGAGGATAAATAATGGAATACCTTTTCATTTGAATTTTAAGGGGTATATTCATTTGTGTATTCAATCTGAGAAACATAACAAACATTGTGATTTATATCAACAATCATTTATTTTTGAATCATTGCATGTGCGCGTTTTCCTTATTTTGGCCCTACTTGTGCCAGCTATGTAACTTTAGCGCTGCGGTGTAACAGGATGATTGAACAGCAAGTTGCTCAGATGCAGAACAGACACATTCTTTTGTTGAAAAATACGCATTTGTTTATCATTGTTATCAAGGGGATTTTTGTTGTAATAATTATCGTTTTGTCGACCCAGCCTTATCTGAACGTGTCACTTTTTTGTCACTATTACTGCTACCTCAGATCATTACGGTGAGCACTTTCCATGAAGTAGAGGGTGCAAATGAAATGTAATTGTTCCTCTTTCTGCTGTGTTACAGCTAAAGGGACTTCAGTCAGCTACATTAAATGAATGGCATAGTTTACATTCGAAAAGCACCTTTGAATAGTATTATTGGTAACAATCACCCATTAGTTTAACCCCATAAAGATGTATGCCAAATTCAAATTATACATGAAATGTTTTGGTTTTTTTTCCTCAGATTTTGGATTTGGTTTGGTTATGCACCTCCTGTGTGTACGTGTGCTTGGTGACGTTTATACAGTAATGTATGCTTGGCTGTCTGTATATAGTGTTTGAGTGTGCTGTATGTGTGTTGTCAGGCCCATGTTTATACTTTATGAAGAGGGTTGCTGCCTCTTGCAGGCAGTGCATCAGCAGGTATTTCAAGTGATAGATGAGCCACTTCTTCAGCAGTTGGTGGGGAAAATGGAAAAACAGAGTCATTGGGTAACAACTGCAACAATTCTTTAGATGATTTGAAACACAAGGAGAGAAAAATAAACTGTTGCTGTCTAACATGAAAAAACATATTGTTATATCCCAGTTCTTGTACCAGACAGAGGATGAATCACTGGGAATATCCCTCGGGAGGTGAGGAGTGTTGGGAGTTGAAGAGAGGGCTAGAAATAAAAAGGACAGGAGTAAGGCTCAGAGAGTGGTGGATTTGAAAGGTTAAACTAATAGTGATGGACAAGAAATGATGTAGAGCCTTTAAATGTTGAAGCTGCCAAAGGACAAAGAAAAGAGAACAAGGCGAAATAAAAAATAAAGGAGCTACACAATAAGTAATCAAGTGTGGAGATTTTACACAGCCAATTTTGGAATGGAGAGGAATACAGAGGAGTAGAATAGATGAAAAGATGGAAGATGAGTAGAGAGGAAGAGAGGGTGATGAGCAAAAGGTATAAAAGAAGTTTTGTTGGGCTGCAGAGAAGGAAAAAAAACTATGAAAAATGGTTATACGGGAGGATGGATGGTCCCATGGTAGGTTTACAGTATAGTTCTAAGTAGTATTTAACATTATGGGGCCTGACTTTACTTTATCATTGAAAATTTGTAATGAATTTAGTTTTAAATTGAAACCATGTCTTTGCACAGACAACCTCTCTTTGCACTTATATCATTACGTATATAATTGCGCCTATGTATGTATAAGGCCCTCTTGGGGTTATTTTAAGTGGGACCCTATAAAGCATCAGCCCTCAGCACATGGACACAATGTTCTGGCACATTTGGTTGATTGAGAAACAAATGCAGAAATCTTTCAGTCTTTGAAATAGAGAGGTATTGGGAAAAATAATCTCATCACTGTGTGTTCAGTAATCATTTGATAACCCCTTGATGTACATGCACACACCCTTTGCCCTTTCTCTCACACCTTGCTAGTGCAAGTGACTGTTGAAGCAGGAAAACTGTGCAAACAAGTACTGGCTTGGGAATCAATTTACCCCCATTAGTTTAGATTTAAACATGTCAAGGAGCTGCAGATGGTTTTGACTTCTCCTGATGTCTTCTCCAGGCAAACAGTATCTACTATACAATGGTTAGAGAACCACAAAACCTTCTTTCAGAGTGGTGTGTGGGTCTGTAGACCTGATTCCCTGTGCTCTCTGCTCCCAATAAGAGACGGCTAGCTGCTTGTTTGATCTCTAGTACCCCATTTCTGTTCTGCCTGCCTGGATTCAGATGTCAAACGGATGTTATTTTTCTTTCTGACAATCACTAGATGTTTCTCCAGAGAGCCTTCCAAATCCGTGCCCTCCCGTGGTTATTCTTTCAGCCTAAACCAGCCCATAGAAATAACCCACACAACCTCTCACAGAGTCCTCCTTGACACATTAAGAGAGTGCTCTGTTATTCTTTGTTGTAAGCAGGCCTTTGATGGATACAGTATACACATGTCCAGTTAACAGTGAGAGGCCTTATCTTAGTCTGATGTTAGACTACATAATAGCACTGTGGTTGGACCTCAGAATAAGTGAACATGTAATAGCTAAGATAATTCTGTTGCCCTTAAAAGGATTATTTCCACTTCATCTCAGTTACCTCATCCCCAGTTAAAATTTATCTTGATGTTTGGACAGGTTAGAATTACTTTTTGAATTTTCTAACTCCTGCCTGTTTGTTTTGCCTCTTTCCTGTAGATGATAATGAGACTGGGTGTGTTGTGCAGTTTTGACTTGTCATTTCAGACTTGAAATGGCTCATATTTGACCCTTCCTGTCTAAGCAGGAATTGTAGCTGTCTTTCTTGCAGACTCAAAATCTAATTAACCCAACCTGACAGTTTACACCTGGAAGAATGATGATGAGCAGGTTTGACAGGGAAGGAAGGATAAAAGAGAAATAAGGGGGCTCAGTGACTAGTGTGCGTGGTAATAGGTATATAGTAATAAATTGATTGTGTCCTGTTGTGCTGCAGAAATTAGCTACATAGACTTGCTTAGTTGTCTCTGTTTATGGATGTGAATGAAAAAATAGAAATGGCCCTTGTGAATTCAAAAGCTTAGATCTTGATTTCATTTAACGGTTTCAGTGTCCATGAGCTAAGGAATTTCGTTGAAAAGCTCATTTGAAGAGCTCACAAATATATTACATTTGATGTACAGTATGTGTGACATATGTATAGTCAGACAGTTCCTCTCCTAATGTTGAAAGCTGAGCTCAGTAGTGATGCACTGGGTCAGCTAAAAGATATACTGTACCCGGTGATAGCATTCAGTTTCATTGTAAGGATGTTTGCTTTGGGACTGCTCCTTAGTACTGATATAACTGCAACAACACCTCTTTCCAAGATGTTCTCTGAGCAGACAGATGCTACAAGCTGTGGGAAGTAAGAGATCTGAGTGAAGTGCAAGAATTAGACAGATGGACAGTGAGAGAGTGGTCTGAGAAGAAGAGCTATCTCCAGCTGCCTTGTCGGTCTGCAGTAGTTTTGTTATGCAGATTCCTGGATAAGCTTTTTCATTACAACTGTAAAGTAGCTTTAGATGTGGGATTATGACTGACAGAAGGGAAAGATAGCTAGGGCTATGGAAGTACTAGGGAAGTAGAGAAGGTGATGTCATACGCACACATTTTGCATCACTCTCATCTGCCCATCCCCCCACCCCACCCACAGTGCATACCTTATACCTCATATTTCCTTCAGTCTGACTACAAAGGCTCCCACTGCTCATGGTGTGTATGGAGGGGCTTTTGCTGGGGAAAGTTTACTACCTTGACATCGTCTCCTTGTCAGCCGTGGCTTTTACTCTGTATTTAATAATGTGTGTGAGACCTTGGATGTATGAAATTGGACTGTAATATCTTTGTTTCATCAGTTTTTAAGCAAAATGACATTTTAAGAAAGAGTAATTGCCCCAGAGCACTTGCAGACTCTGACCTTGTGATTTCCAGTTTTTGAAGAAATAAAAGTTCACCCTACAATGCAGCACTCAACCATTATATTGGCAATAGATTTTCACCTTGGACTAGTCTAGGGTTGCTAGTACAGTCTACTCTACCAAGATTTCCTAAAATGTCCTTGTAAGGCCAGCACAGTTGTAATGCTTTATTCTTCTGGCCTTAGTTAAAATGACCCCAACGGTTGTAATGCAACCCATGTTGTGTCTATTTGAAAATGTGGGAATAAACTTCAGGGATTAAAAGTGCACAACCAACTGAAATTTGTCAGTTTGATGTCCTGACTATAATGAAGTTGATTCTCTAGAGTGATACCCTTTGACATTGTGTCTAAGCATCACTATGGTTAATATATAACTACAGGTGAGTGTTCATCATTGTTGACCTGTAAGCTTAGGTTTGCTTAATCACTGTCACTAGAACTTAGGTTGGGGGTAGATTCTGAAAGAAGGTGCCAAGTGGGAAACCAAGGTAAAGTTTCTTTACAAATAGAATCCATAACTGATTGACTGAAGAACTATTTTGCTAAAAAGGTCCGATGGGACCTCTAATATGCCAAGAGTTATCTACAATCAGCTCACCATCCTGAGTCAACAGTTCATAAACTGTGATGTATTTACGGCCTGTCATGACTCAATATGGCTAATATAGCCAGCAATCATCTGTTATTTGATGACTTTTTTGTGCATGTTACAACAACTCATTTTCCACAAAGAAGACATTTTACACATGATGCAGCCCGAACTGAACCACTTGTAACAAGTAGTGTCTGTGTACATGTAGCCTGTAGCTCAGTTGTACATGTTAACTGAGGAGATGCACAAATGCTAAGGTCAATTTCAGGATTTCAATAATTGAAACAAGAATTGCAATGAGTTGGAAAATTGATATTTTTATTCAGCTCTAGATAGGTTTACCACTACAAAATGATACCAATGTTAATGTTTGTTAGATAGGACTGTAGAAAAATATTGAACTCTTTGTTCAGTATTCTTCCACAAACTATAACAAGCAGTCATTTGGTTAGCAAAAAGCCAAAATCCTCAAAAACTGAACTTTAA